AAATACTGCCATTTTTTGCCGTCACGTGACCGGCCCGGACCAGGGCTTCCTCGTGTCTCGCCTCGTCCTCACACTGAAGCCCTGGGAACGAGGTTGGCCTTTGCTAAGACAATCGCGTGCAAAAATTGTTGAGACAAGCAGTTTATTGGCCCTCTCCCTCCTGTAACAATGGTTTTTGGCCCCCCCCCTCCCCCTTGTGCAATGTTGTTAAAACGACTTTGAGGACAGGGCTTATCAAATAATATGTTTTCAACATTGTTAGTGGGGGGAGGGGGGCACGCACGTGAAAAAAATCACCAAAATGTGAAGAGTCTCATTTGATTTTTGCACGCCTTGAGACTGCACTGCGTAATTTAAATGATGCGGCAACTCAGGGATCGGATGATAGACTATTGACGGCTCTGAGCTAACTGTTGCTGTTCCTTGCACGATTATGTGCGTGAGGCACTTGCCTAATGCGTAGTCGTCAGGGAGACAAAGGTGTGGCGATTAGTTAGTAATCGACCCTGTTGAAACAAAAGAAACCCGGGCAACTATGCTATTACTTCTCTAACAAGCAAGGAAGGGGGGGGGGGTACATAACAGTTCATTTTTCATAATTATGAGGACAGAGCAGATGATGATGAAAGATGCAAGTATAAAACACCATTCACAAGACTAGACGTTAACATAGCACAGTATTAGAATCTATAGTCTTTTTGCTCTCTTGTACCGCCATCTTGGATTTATCATGTATAGGCCCCGCCTGCGCTAGGTATGCGTTAGCAATCTAGATCTCCTATATCTATGGGTACGCCCATGACTTTGCTGTTTGCTTGCACGAATTTTTTTTCTCTGACGTAATGGCTGCACGAAGTTTTTTTCCAGGCATTTTTCTTTGCACGAATTTTTTTTTGGGAATTTTCACCCCCCCTCCCAGGATTTCTAATGGTCCGCCCCTAAAGAATTTAAGATTTAGATACATTTCTTTCACTTCTTCATTTATAGGTACAGAAATATTTAATGCGAGAGATTTCTGCTAAAGAACTAGGATTGGAGTAAAAGTATGTAAATTTCGTCAAATGTTGCGACTTGCATGAACACTTAGTCTTCGGAATATTTTGCCGTAACATGCAACCAATATCTTGGCGTTTTGTTCTTGCTTTTCCAATTTTCAACTCAGTTAGAGTGTCTTAGCTAGACAGTGCTGTAAAATTACCAAAAAAGGAATGAGTAATAATTACAATTACTATACTTCCCCAAAAAACAATTATTACAAATTATAAATTATACTTTCGTTCAAAAGTAGCTAATTACGAATTACGAATTACTAATTATTACTTGACATGTTCAAAAATTAAATTAAATGCTCATTACTTATCAGATTACTTTTTAAGATTGAACAAAAACAAGGCGTATAATTCAGCTGCGTTAAAATGAGTTACTCGGAATGGGAATGACAGACATGAAAATGGGAAAAACCCATATATTACGAATTACTAATTATTACTTGACATGTTCAAAAATTAAATTAAATGCTCATTACTTATCAGATTACTTTTTAAGATTGAACAAAAACAAGGCGTATAATTCAGCTGCGTTAAAATGAGTTACTCGGAATGGGAATGACAGACATGAAAATGGGAAAAACCCATATATTACGAATTACTAATTATTACTTGACATGTTCAAAAATTAAATTAAATGCTCATTACTTATCAGATTACTTTTTAAGATTGAACAAAAACAAGGCGTATAATTCAGCTGCGTTAAAATGAGTTACTCGGAATGGGAATGACAGACATGAAAATGGGAAAAACCCATATATTACGAATTACTAATTATTACTTGACATGTTCAAAAATTAAATTAAATGCTCATTACTTATCAGATTACTTTTTAAGATTGAACAAAAACAAGGCGTATAATTCAGCTGCGTTAAAATGAGTTACTCGGAATGGGAATGACAGACATGAAAATGGGAAAAACCCATATATTACGAATTACTAATTATTACTTGACATGTTCAAAAATTAAATTAAATGCTCATTACTTATCAGATTACTTTTTAAGATTGAACAAAAACAAGGCGTATAATTCAGCTGCGTTAAAATGAGTTACTCGGAATGGGAATGACAGACATGAAAATGGGAAAAACCCATATATTACGAATTACTAATTATTACTTGACATGTTCAAAAATTAAATTAAATGCTCATTACTTATCAGATTACTTTTTAAGATTGAACAAAAACAAGGCGTATAATTCAGCTGCGTTAAAATGAGTTACTCGGAATGGGAATGACAGACATGAAAATGGGAATTATATATATATATATAATTAATCATTATAAAGATAGAAGCTACGGATATATAGCTAAATTGTACTTATATATATAGTATGTCTAGTATGTGACGGAAAATGAAAGGTAGGCATATAGACTTTCATAGTCCGTGAAGTTATTTCTAAAGGGAACTATTTAAAGCAGAATATTGTGTTTCAAAAGTCAACATATACATATAGGTTAAAAGAATATCCCTGAGAGGTGTTTGTTGAAACTGGGATTTGGGTAAAAAATGGCTGGGATTGGGAAGTTACTTTAACTCCAGTGGATCGGAATTGTTTTAACCCAATGTTACTCTACATTAATTTGGAGCTAAATTTGGTTCAAAGTAACTGGACTGGGAGTTAAATCAACAGCCTAAAATTAACAGGGTGGGACGTAGAAAAAATGGTGGGCTGGGAAATGGGAACTGTCTTCCCCCCATCAGGACCCTCGAAATACGTTTTGAAAGACTTGGAACACAAATCAGGTCAACATAGAAAATCGGGCATGTGTGCATTTACGAGTAGTAAAAAGAACGTGTTTCTTCATGTCTGACTGTTTCGAAGTAGACGAAGTACTAATGAGTACTCTCTAATGAGTACTAATGAGTACTAATGAGTCTAATGAGTACTAATGAGTCTAATGAGTAATGAGTCTAATGAGTAATGAGTCTAATGAGTAATGAGTAATGAGCCTAATGAGTAATGAGTACTAATGAGTACTAATGAGTGCTAATGAGTCTAATGAGTACTAATGAATACTCTAATGAGTACTAATGAGTACTCTGCTTGTTAGTTTTTTCAACAGAATTCAATTTGTACTTATAGAAAGCAACTGATGAATAGCTACGTTGAAGCAGACTGAAGGATGAAATTGCGAGAGCTTTAGAAAACAAAGACCTCAAACAAAACTCACTCATGCATGTTTTGAAAAACTCACTCGTGCATGTTTCATCCAAATTGCACTCGAAACCATCCTATTACCTTACTAATATGTTAACTTCTACAATATTTCCACATACAGAATGTTTTTGCGATGTGATCACTTTATTGTGGCTGCAAAAAGCTTTACATTAGCTATAACTATGGTAGATTATGTAGATAGTACTATAAAAAAAATTCTACAAAATGTGCTTATGGATAGATTGTAAAGGTAAAATTAGTGTGTGATTATTTTAGTATTATATAAAGTCTACATTTAAATTAAATGTGTAAATGTGCGAGTAAAAAATAAACAACTGCAATGGCAAAAGTTAGCGAACAAAGATTTGTCCACCAGGGTTGGAAACTCCTTTCTTTTGATGAGCGTATGTACCACCTTTCGCTTTCCCACAAGGATTGTGTATTGGCCAGTCACTACCTGTGTCTCCATCAAAGTAATAATATGTACCGGAAGCACTCAAGAATGGTCCATATAAGTTCCAATGAATTCTATATGGTACCACACCATTACAAGCTGTTGCCACGTTCTTTATATTCTGGCAACTCATTGATCCGCGTTTCTTTGTGACCAGACTTCCACCATTTGGTTGACAAACAATCCAATCATTGATGTTTGATTTGATCATGAACTCTTGTCCAATGCTCTTCCAAAGATTCCAGTCTACAGCCCCAAGAGATGACTCATTGAGTGGAGGAGTGGTTGAGATTGGAACATTGGCCCATATGGCAGGCCAGTTTGGACGGGGGGTTACGGCATTGCTTGTTGAACCAAAAGCGTTATAATTTGTAAAGGTATAGGTATAAACCAAAGTCCAGTTCCCTCCGTGCGTCTCCATGTCACAGTAAACTTGAAATGGTTTGCTGGACGCGAGCTTGATCCAGTAAGTTCCTGAAATGGCGAATTTATAACTTGCTAGGATATCTTTGCAAGATATTCCAGGGTTTGACATTGAACCATAAACTGGCAATGCTGAAATAAAAGAGAATAAGATTAATTAGTGAAAATACATTTTAGTTTTATAACAATCGAGTGAATGGTTGTTGAAAAGGTTGCGTCCCCGCCGAGGAAACCACCGTAAGTACAGACTACATCTGTATTTATACTATGATAAAGTTTGCTTGGGCTTTGCTTGCCGTTTAATTTTGTTTCCATCTTTTTTAACTTGTCTTCAAGATTTTGTAACTTTGCATTAATGTTTCTCTCCAGATTCTGAATTCGTGCGTCTTGTTGGGAATTTTTCATGCTGAGGTTTTGCAACTTCTCATTGATATCCGTCTCCAGGATTTTAATTTGTTCATCTTGCTGGTAGATTTTATCTTGTACGTTATCTTTGAGTTGTTTAACTTGAGCCGTTAAATTTTCAGTCTAAAATGATTTAAATATAGATATTAAATACAATTTACTCAAACCCGTATCCCAATAAGGAAAACGTGTAAGAGGGCAATCGTTCGAGCAAACCGTTCATCCTGGCACATTTTCCAGTTGTGCTACAATTAAATATGCATGTTTCATCAATGGTAAACAGTGGGGTACGAGTCGCTCAAAACTATATGTTAATCTTTTTATGCATGCAATCTTTTCAAAACCGCATATTAACATTTTCAATACATCAGCCACCCTACCTCTTTTTCACTGCCTATCTCAACCCATTTATTCCCCTTGTTCACATAAAGTTTTTCGTTATCCTCACGATATGAGAGCAGTCCTGGCACTGGTGGGAGATTGTTGAAGCTTTCTTTGTTTTTTACTAAGATTGTCTAAAATAATTACAAATTTTCAATGGAATCATAAGCAAGGGACGGGAGTCCTTTTGGGAATAAGTTAAATTTTTACATTCCATAAGGTATCTGTTTGTCATGATAGGACTCTGCAGGACCTTTTTAAGAATTCGTCCATGGGGGACCATACTATACTGAGTGTGGAGAGATAACAGATGGTTGTTGGTAACAAAAAGTTCAGTACTGAACAACAACTCAGTTACTAACCTGTTTAGCCTAGCTTTAGCCTTGGGACTCTGATAAAATGTAAATATTGAAGAATATAGCAATTTATTACTTACACCTTCATTCAAGAATGTCTGAAATTGCTTCGAACATGAACCCTATACGAAAGGAGAAATTTTGTGTCTAATTTTTCCAGTTGTGCTTCAAACTTTGTGGGCAGCACGCTAAACTATATATCGCCGAGAACATTTTTGCATCTGGAACCATCAGAAAAATGAATTCCGTGACTGGAAAATTGATTTTGCCTATTAGTGTTAAAGTGCTATCTTTTATATATATATATATATATATATATATATATATATATATATATATATATATATATATATATATATATATATATATATATATATATATATATATATATATATATTATTAGTGTAGACTAAGACATGATATCTGAAGATAATTTAATAAAACCTAAACCTATTTACGATAAAAGTTACTCGAGTTTCACGCACAAAGGTCTGATGATCGCCTTTGTGCGTGAAACTCGAGTAACTTTTATCGTAAATAGGTTTAGGTTTTATTAAATTATCTTCAGATATCATGTCTTAGTCTACACTAATAATAGTTTTGCTCTGCAAAATCTTACCTGCATTGAGCACTCTTCAGATACGTGTCAGCATCGACAAACAATATATATATATATATATATATATATATATATATATATATATAATTTTCGATTAAAAAAACTTGAAGAAACTTTGAAGAAACAATTTGCAAAAGAAAACTCCCATGTTTAGCCGGTTTAAACTACATCTTATAATCACGATTGGCTTAGACAAACAATTAAGGTGTCCGCTAAATTAAATCAGTGTCTTATATCAAGTTTTTTTTGCAAGGTTTCTAATAATGTACGTTATGTACGCTTAAATGAGTTGGTAGTTCAAGTTTATACAAGATAGCACTTTATAATTACAAGGCGAAATGGGCGAAAAAACTCAATTTTCCACCCTTGCCATTAACTTTTCAGGTGGCTCCATGCATATCTAGGATTTATAAGTACATCGAGTACCTTCAGTCATCAAACGCATAATTTTTACACAAATCCGCTTAGGCCTTAGACTTAGGTATTATGAATTAAGATATGTTGTTATATTTTCTACCACATGAATACAAATTATATATAACGTACCTTATGAATTTCTAATGTTTTAATATCTTTTACCCTACACTAGATTTATAGACATTCATTAATTATACAAAATCTAATTCTATTATTTATTTCGTAGCTGCATTACAATTTTCTTTATGGTTCTATCAACACAAATTCTTTCCACATTTTTACCTTACGAGGTGTACCAGTATTTTTATCAATATAATACGTTTCAAATTTTCCAGCGTCTGTCTTCATCTTAAACTCCATACATCTTTTCCATAATCGTTCAGGCGTGCGTGTTCTTATCCAAAACCAAACGTAAACCTGACTTTTTAAAACGGTTCCACCATTAATAGCCTGACATTTTTTGCTGCAATAATGATCTCGTCCACCCTTTGGACCAAAACATGCACAGCACTATAAATGAAATACGGAACCCTTTAAAACTGAAGTTTAGAATTGAATTAATCGTGGTTGTCAAAATAGATGTTGAGATGTTAAGTCGCGTTGTTGACGTGCTATGGTTTTCCCAGAGTCCCAGTCTTTCGCGCGATATATGGAGTTTGCAGTTACTCAGATATTTTGTTTTAAAAATGTTGCAATCTCAACATTTCGATTGAAATGAATGTGATAAATAGTTTCTCTGTTCCAATGTGATATCATCCCCATATTTTCATGATTTGGGTTTCAGTAGATGGTAACTTTTACATGGCTATACGGCAGCACTTCCCCTTGCGATTGTAACTCCTAGTCATTACTTTGCCTTCTGCAATCAGTCACCATGTCGATGACCATGGCTTTTCACGACAGCCTACGGCATCAGCACCAGCGGCTACGACAGCCGCGGCTAACCAGGCTTCGGTTACCGTCTATGTATTGTGATATTTTGGTTATCTGATTCAGTCAATGAGTATAAATACCTCATCATTATCACAGCCAAGAAATGCAGTAGCATCATCTGTAATACCAGATAGTTCAGAACTCACACTGTAGCTATATACATACAGAAAAAATTGTACGTTAGGGTACAACATAAATGAACTTACCATTTTAATTTTAATACAATATAATAATATTATGCCATATTAATGAAATTTTGATTTACTCTAGAACATGGTACATATCTTACTGATGAACATAGTTTATTATATAAGTTTTGGTTTGTGGAAATATCACGTATTTTTATTATTGCAAAGCTTTCGATCCGTAATCTCGAAAGTTTAATAATAGTTTACTTTCTTTAAATGATTAATGGACAGTTTGGTTGAGAGTTTGAATGTATTGATTGTGATCTTGATTGAGTTCTTTGGTTGAGTGTTTGATAGTATTGATTGAGCGTTCGATTTTGTTGATTAAGTGTTTGATTTTATTCATTTTGATTGTATTGATTGATTGATTGATTGATTGATTGATTGGAAGCTAGACTACATTCATTCATAGACAGCTAGATGCATTTAATGTTGAGAGCTTGATTGAAATATCCAATGAAATTAAGTGCTCCTAACATGTACCTGAAAGATCCAAAACTATCCGTCTTATTTGGTAACCCTGCCATATAAGCATACCCCATTGGACATTTATTTCGAAGGCAGTAATTCATTCTTCCCTGAAATCAAATGGAATTAAGTAAAATATAATGTAGCACTGGACGAGACATCATTCACGTGCTGGAAGTATCATTGGCAATACGTATAGTTACCCATCCTAAACTGGCATGCAAATGAGGTCCAAATTTTGAGCAGTTGAACTTTGTAGTAACCATTGTTTCAGTGAGGATATCTTTAACAAAGGACACATCTCCAATCCCTGAATGAACGTCTGTACAGCCACCACTTCCCACACCAAAAAAATTACCCAAATTACGTTTTGGCTTTAATCTATAAAACCTGGAAAGAAATACATTTATGAATGTTGTTTATTTTTCGCTTATAAATTGGAGGTTAGGTCGTTTTGTCGTAAATTTACTACTATATCGAAATGAATACAATACGGTAGAAGACGACACAACGAAAGCCGGCACAACACGATATGACGCAAAACAACAAAAAACAGCGTCACTTCTCTCCTACCAATGTGCCTTTGTGTCTTTAAAACTGCTTGTGGTTGAAATTTGAATTGCAAAATCCTGTATGTTGACGTCACCAAACTCACTGGACCAATGAGGAGGCCCCAATGGATCTACTGGAGTGTTATTTGATGAAACGTTCCATGTGACAGGACTGTTCGTCATTCCAGTCAACATAAACCCACCGCCGTCTGCATGTGTGTCGCACCACGCCTATGGATTGAATTATATGATCGATAATTGGTAGATAATTGACTAATTGATTAAATTAATCTAGTGATTAATTGAATAAATCGTTAATATATTGATTGGTGTAGTGATTAAAAACTGGTAATTGATTTACTGATTGATTTTTGTTGGCAACTTGATTGTTGATTGATTGGTAATATTTTTTTCACTAGTTATATATTAGGCGTATTAACATTATATTTCATGCTCAAAGAAATTTGACTGCAAGCTAACGTATTTCATACAGTAATATTGAACACTGTTATTGATCTTTACTCACTACAATTCCGCCTGAGCACAAAACCAATTGTTAAATTAGCTACATATTATCTAAGAAGTGGGGGCATTCTGGATCTGTTGTTTGATACTTAATTAAATTTTTTTTATACCTTTACTAATTTTCGTTGGCCAAGTTTTATCCAATAGAAACCATCCTTTGCTTCGTGAACATTTTCTACGATATCCAAGCAATCTTTTGCGGGATTAAATCTCTCACCAAGTGTGGGGGAACCTTTAAATATGGGAATGTACACAATTTTTACATCTTGCGAGAAATACAAAGCGTTTGGAAATTTTAATTAATGTGTCCAACTTATTCTAAGGACACTCAACAAAACCCAAAGGTTGCGAATTAATGAAAGTTATGCTATGACCAGGTTTTGGATTTTTCGCATATGGGCATTTACGTCAGCGAAAATAGATGGACTGTTATACTTAGCAGCGTTAATTTTCGATTTGATAGTCTGGGGTAAAGAGTTATCGTTTGCTCTCACTGCGTCCTTTAATAGTTACAACAATTTTCCTTCCAAGTGAAGACTGTTCGTCAGCATTTATTTATTTAAATTAATAAAGTTTGTTTACATTATCGAAGTTTTTAATCTAAATATGCTTTGATGGTACAGTGCGTGAAAGTGCAAACTTCTTTTCACGATCAAGTGACCAATCACTAACCATCCCGAAATATCCACACATATTGTCCATTGTTTTTGACACAGATTACAACTCCGTCATCTCCTGAAACTTTGCGATAGAATTTACGAACTCCTTTAGATTCCTTGTTACAAATAGACATCTGAAAAACAAATAAAGAGACGAACGAATTGTGACTTTTTGCTGACATATTTGTCGCTCACGATAAAAGCTCGATGTTCAACTAATTTTTGGCGTCTACGGCAGTAGACGCTATATGAAATCGACTCGAGCTTGAGAGAGCAAAACTAGATTGAAGACGGTCAAGTAGGATTCACTTTTCCAGCCTAAATTGACCTCAATTGGCAAATTTCGGTTACTAGCTTGTTCCCTCGAATCTGGGTGCAAACGTATATGCAAAAAACTAAAAAAAATTGACGGACAAAGGCAGCAGAATACAGCACTAGCTATATATACTATGGTTATGTTACTAGTAATGCACCGTTATGGAAATGTGCCGATATTCTCGGATAACCGATATTCAAGGTCTGGTATTGGTCGATGCCGATAACTGATAATTCTATTTTACTTCGAAATTCACAAATGACATTGGACTTACTGTAGAAAAACCCTCATAACTATCTATGCATGAGTTGAGAGTGGCCAATCATGCATTAACATTAACCATACATGTATACATGCTAAGATCTATATTTTTAGCGATACATTTATAGCGCTACATGTAATATCAAAATCAAAATTTAGGACATCAGCATTTAGAACCGATATACCGTTATCCGATATGCATGTCTCCGAGCGGACCCTCCTTTCCGCGGGTTAGCTTCCCAGGCGTGCGAGGGGAAGGAGGGACTGCTGACAACACATCAAGAAACGAAATACGCCTACTTTTCGCTCTTGTTAAGTTGGCTCCGCCTTGCATAAACATTACTTATAGTAGTTTAAAATGGTTCGAATCATATCTTATAGTCGGCCGGCCAAGGTGGCAAAAAGTGCCTCTAAAGAGAGTTTGATGGCAACTTTATGTTAGAAGCTGGTAACAGGCATTTTCTTATAGTTCAAGCCTTGGTGATTCCACTTCTGATTTTTGCTTTATAGCAAAAAAATTGAGAATTTTAAAATTTTGCCTATTAAATTACTATGATGGCAAAAAATGTAAAATTTCATGTTCTCTTATACAAAAAATAAACTATACCACTAGAAAGAGCGCAAAAAACTATATATAAGATAATTGTGCGACTAGTGCGATTTTCAAGCCGATTTTGAATTAAAGATGGTTAAGTTAAAGTTGGCAAAATGGGTATACTAATTAGCATTAATTTGGTCATTTCTGCATTTTTTAACGTTAAAAACTCGAAATAGGATTGGAAAAACGTAGAACTCACTTAATTGTCGTCTTCCCGTTGCCCCCCGCGCGCGTTTCTCTCCCCAATTGAAACTTCATGTAAGATTCATATGTAAGCCTATTCCATTCATGTAAGCCTATATTAGCCTATTAGCCTATTCCAATTGCCTCTGTGGAGGAGAGAGGTCAAAATACAAAAACCTTCCCACTTCCGCTTCTGGCTTGTTTTGTATTTCTGTAATTTGTTCTATTTTTTCTGTAGTGATTTAATACCGGCAAATATCGCGGTAGAATTTCCCTTTCTTTTCTTTATATACGTCAATTTGTAGCAAAGGATACACCTTTCGTTAGACTCTTTGCATGAAAGTTGCGAAATTAGGCTTATAGGCTATAGCGATATTTGCTGATAAAGGCAAAAAGGGTTTCTTGCAGTAAATTGATGGAGCAAAGGTCGGCATTATTACGCAATGAGAATTTGTAAATATATCGAGTCTACTACAAATCTTTTTTTATTTATATTAAGAAATAAATATAAAGCATTTATTATGTGTGACCCATACAGTTATAGAAACACTTGTAGTAGTTTGGGAGAACTCGAATAACGTGGAAAAACTCGCCCTAAGCCTATATAGGTCTCGTTTTCCCACACATTATATCCAGGCATTATGCTATGTTTGTAGTAATAAGGCTTTTCAAAAAGCAATTGAAATTTTTAATAACCACAAACCCGTAGACGCTCAGAAATGCCAAGACTGTATGTGATAAACCCTTTTTTCGTATTATGAATTATCACTCGCCCCAGGTTTCGAAGTGAAGCAGCGCAAATTATTAAGTACGGCTCATGAAAAGCACGCCTGTCTAAATCAAAATTGGAAGTACGCCTATTTTACTCGAGTAAAATATGAATTAAGTTCGGCTCATGAAAAGCACGGCGTCTAAACCGGGCCTAACACAAAAATGCAAAGTCAATGATCGGCTATCAGGTTCGACGCCAGTAACGTGTGGTATCCCACAATGGAGTAATTTGGGTCTGTTGCTGTTTCTTATCTACAGGGTGTCCCCCAAAAAACGAAAACTATTGAAATTACCGATAACAATTTAATTGTTAGAATTTGAATGCATTAGCACTCTGTTGGTTCCCACGAGTGCATAAATGATTGACATAAGTAAATTTTATGCATAAAGAAACTATTTAAGAAGCTGTTTTAAATTCCCAAGAGCAGAAAATCGCGCACTTTACAAGGAGATGTTCTTAACTAAATTTCAATACATGCACCTTGTCAATATTTTACGCATCATTACGTTCAGCTTTTTGGTAGGGCATTCAATTTTAACAATAAATGATTTCAATAGTTTTCAGGTTTCTTGGGACACCCTGTATATTAATGACCTGCCAAACTGCCTCCACCACGCCACTCCTAGAATGTTTGCAGCTGATTCTCTGGAAGAGCTCCAAAGTGTCATTAACTCTGAATTAGAACGTCTTATAAAAGCCGGCTTATTTACAAATAAGCTCAGTTTAAATATTGCAAAAACCGGCGGAGTTTATGACCATTGGATCTCGACAAAGAATCAATGTTACTCAGTGTCGGCTTGATGGTAGTGAAATCAACAAAGTCGATACTGTTAAATCCTTAGGAGTACATATCGACAAACACCTTTCTTGCATTAAAACGTATTAGACCATTGGTGAGAACGGCTGTTCAGCATAGGCGTACCGGGCGGGGGGGGGAGGCGGTAGCCCCCCCCCCCAGTTTTTTGGGCAGTCGGGCAATATTTGAGTTGCAGTCGGGCAATTTTGGTTTGTTATAAAAATAAATGGTCCAAATTCTGTCAATTTTGTCGAAAATTTAGTGAATTTTGTGTCCAATGTAGTGGTTTTTGGACAATTTGTGTGATGTTACGAAAAATTTTGGTATGTCCGGAAAATTTTTTTGACCCCTAAAATGGTACACTGACCGAAAATTTTTTGTTCAGGTGTATCAAGCCTTGATACAACCTCATTTTGACTACTGCTGCTCAGTCTGGGATGGTTTTGAAAAACATGCACTATCTGACAACTACCAACAACGGCACTGTTTTCAAAGGGAATGGAATTCTTTATGAAGGTCTTGTTATTATTTCAAAACGAAAACCCGTCCACTGAATAATTATAACAATTATTGTGAAGGTTGAGCATAATATGAAGAATTATGAAGCTCGTGTACAATCAGTGGCGGAAATTCACTTTTTCCGGTGGGGGGCGAAGCCTTCTAAATTTCCGACAAAACTTTCAAATTTCCGACAACCCCCCCCCCCCCCATTTGCACTCGAAAAGGCTGTTTTTAGCCCTCTCATAGGTCAAAATTTCCGAAAATTTTCATTTTCCACGAAGGTGGAGGGGCGGCCGCCCCCCTGCCCCACCGAGATTTCCGCCACTGTGTACAATGTGAAAAGGGACATTGCACTTCCCTATACTGCTTAGAAACCAGTAATTCATCGGTGTGAAAAGTGGCAGTCATTTCAACAATAATCGCACACCAACAAAGTAGTTTAAAGTAAAAACGCTTATATACTGAACATCTTTCAATGATATATACGACTACAGCAACTTCTAGGACTAATTGACACTCCATATTTTGCTACGAAAGCCTGTGATATGTAATAGGCTATCATTAGTAAAATGGTCATTTCATGTGTTTTAATATTATCGCATTTTAAAACATCTTTGTATGATTCTGATTAGACGCCATGTACGCCATAGCGTACTTATTTTTATTTTAGTAAGTAAATAATTCGTTAGTGTAAAGAGAACCTTGCATGGCGCTATGTTGTGTAATGTGTTTACTATATACGTGCAAGATGAGGAGATCCAAATTTAATTACCTGGCCATGGCTGCCAGGAGATTATGTTTTAACCTTCCCTGAAAGGTAACTTGATAACTACAAAACATTTTCATAGACAAATTCGTGAAATTAATGGCCTTAGTGTCGTTAGAGGGTTAGTGTCGTATCTTACTATGCGACTACTCACCCTCCAGCTATTCTTGACAGTCAGTAGAAGCTCAGATTGAACTTACAGGCCAAGGACAGAATTAATTAAATTTTGGTTGTTTGGATGAAAATTGGATGAAAAAATGGACAAAGTTTGTCTTGCTTTTCTGGGCTGAATATATGCACGAGTACTTGACTTAATTTGCTGTCTTTGAGTGCAGTCCTTGTGCATTTATGTGAAAATGTGTTGTACTATTTACTTTGAGAGGCTAAAGCTATAACGTTCTTTCCGTTTTTAAGGGCTTCGAGGCCAAAACTATTGGAGTTCGAGTCGAGATTTCTGTGATCAAACGATACTGATGCGGCTTTTTCTGTGACACCAGACAATGTAACCTCTTTCCAAGACGCAATATAACTCCTTATTAGTATTGTATGCAAATTCCCATTTCAGATCTTGTGATGCGTCCAACTTTCAGCACTCTTTGTCTTTGTTTATTATATATTTGATTATGAATGAAAAATAAAAGATGAAAACATGACATGATCTGAACTGGAAATTTGCATGTCATTAACTTACTAGCTTTAATTTATGGTGCAAACTGATATGCCTATAGTCAGTGATAAGCCCTGTGCTCTGGCCATGCAGACCAAAGCTGGGTTTAGTGGGAATTTTACGAAGGAATTAATCAAGAATTGTGCCACTTCTCTCCCTATTTTTAGTTGCATGTTTACTATATTCAGTTATATCTACAGTATATAGGATAACAGGACTGTGTATTACTGATTCCTTACATTAATTGCTTTCAAATTCTTCTGCGAAATAGCCC